ACCTAATAAAGTGGGTCCTACCCGGTACTAGCTAAGTGTACCTAATAAAGTGGGTCCTACCCGGTACTAGCTAAGTGTACCTAATAAAGTGGGTCCTACCCGGTACTAGCTAAGTGTACGTAATAAAGTGGGTCCTACCCGGTACTAGCTAGGCGCACCTAATAAAGTAGGTCCTAAATGGTTCTAACTAGATTACTGAATAGTAAAAAGTGATAAAAAAAAAGTGGTAAAAAAGTGAAAGTGGGTCATATCCAGCATTAGCTAGGTGTACCTAATAAAGTGGGCCCTACCCGGTACTAGCTTGGTGTTGGGTACCTAATGAAATGGATAAAATAAAGGAGGTGCCCTCAGACATGAAAATCTCAGACCACCGACATGCTGACCAGTGAGGCACATCAGCATTGCACATCAGTGTTGCATGGGTGATGGCGAGTTTATGCAAGTAGGGAGTGCGAAGCGTGCGAGTAAGGAACTATGCAGGGCAGCTTGGAGGATAGGGCACATTGGACTGTTTTGTTTGCAAGGCACAAAGTGTCTCTGAGTATCACTCATTTACAGGGTCCAATGAAAAGTCAAGGATTATTTTCAAAAACATACATGTCAATTTGAACTCAATCGTTTTCATGAATAAAGACTGACTAACTATGCACCAATGACAGAGCGAAGAATTTATGAATCATAACTGGCCTTCAGTCACAGTTTTTTGCCAAAAATGAGGAAATGCAGCAAGGATTCGAGTTGGAAACTCACTGCCACATCATGTCCTTTATGTTGCATTTATGGGACTCTGGAAACACGAGGCCTTCAGTATATAATTGTTGTTCTGCACACTAAATATGGTGTAAACCAAACTGCATATTGCATTTTGCTGGCTCCCTGCTCCTAAGTGAGGACTTCAGTAAATGAGGGCACAGTGTACAGGTGCCCAGGGAGGGTTCTGGGGAGGTATGGGCTGGATTTTACCTGACGTCGTTCTCTGAGAACCTCCTCTGTAAAAGCCCTTCTTCACCCTCCTCGTCTTGAGGTTCCTCCTGCCCCCCCTCCCCTGCCTCTGCCCCTTTGCCACCCTTGTCTTTATCGGTCCTGTCGCCTTCCTCCTCGACCACCTCGGCCAAACCCTCATCTCCATCTTTCGACTGGCTTTTGTCCTGCAGGGCTTGGGATCGACTGAAGACACACGGGTGTGTGAATGAGAGGCATGCAAGACAGAGAAAGAAAGGGGATCACAGACAGACAGACAGACAGACAGACAGCATCTTGACAGAGGAATGGAATGATCTTCCACAAACAAAAGTGACATTGCAACAAACGTGCAAAACTGGGATGCAACTGAGTAGATACACATCTCCAGAAGCTCCACAGACCTGCTGAAATGCTAGGAGAGAAGGTGTCATTGTAAATAACGCTCAGAAGCTGGTACCAGTCCCGGGCAAACCGCTGGGGCTCGTTAAACTGAGACTTCATTTGTTGTTTTAGCAGAGCCAAACCTGAACTTCTGTGGGCATGAGAAATGACACGGCCCAGTTCGAACACTCTCTCCGCGACGAGGTCTGACCCGGCCCTCGCTCACCGGTTTGCCCGTGACTAGCGTGGCAGCTCTGCATGCGGGCGCCCACCTGATCTTGCGGTTGCCCCGAGGTCGCTCGGACTGGACGGACATGTAGCTGGCGCTGCTGAAGCGAGAGGCGCTGCTGGTCCTTGAAAGGGCGGAGGCATCGCTGACGTCGCTGTCCGACGACTTGGCGGAGAGGTTATCCGAGCCCTGGTGGCCATTGCGTCCGGCCCTCTGCGAGATACACGCCACTTTGATACGCAGCACCGAAGTACTCATTTTTTTTGCAGCAACTGATGAACAAGTTTTAAAAATTTGATGCTCAGAGTAAGCTTTTGCTTAATTCACTTTAGAAGGATGCATCAGCTAGATAATATACATTTAAATTCGGGATTTCTGGATTTCCGGTGCAGATGCCAAGGGCAGGATCTTTAAAAATTCATCTTTGGCTGATGGCTCCCCAGAGTACAGTGCAAATAATGACATTACTGGGAAGACAACAATAAAGAGCCGACAGAAAAGTTGCCCCTCCAATTAAACAGTTTAATTAAAGAATTAAACACGTACGTGACATCAGTTCACACAGTGCTCACATTATTCTTGCAATGCATTTAACTTTTATGTAATACGATATTATGTGGTGGTGCAATGCTTAGTGTAGATAATGAAGGTCCAGTGTGAGAGCGCCCCCAAGAGGCAGGGAGGCTACCGAACCCTTAGAGGGTGATACACTGCAATTTCCCAGTCTGCCTGTGTGCCAACAAAGACCTGCTCTCACTGGCCCCATCCAGCGATGTGCAGAGCCAATGCGTAACGCACGAGCTTTAACGAGGTGGGGGCCCCGACTTGCCTGTTCCAGCCGTGAATCAGAACCGGCAACCTGCTTGTACTTGTTCATCTTCATCTGCCGAGCACGCTCCTCCACGTCCATGGCACCTGAAGGGGGGTCAGAAACAGGAGAATGGTGACATAGGGCCCGCGGGGCCACCTACGTCGGGACGGAGTGCTCGGACCCCCGAGGTGGGAGCCAAAGCTGGCCTTCCTTCTACAGAGTCCCTCAAACTGAATCTGCTACTTAGATCTGACCTCACTTGAGGTTGAGGGTATGGAACACACTGTCTGAATGGTAAGAGAAACAACCTCCAAACTCTGAAGATCTCACCCTGGCCTGGATTGACAGGCATTACAGCTCTATGGTCAGTATTTGATCTCTGACCTCTGACATCACAGCACACAGGTCAACACAGGTCAATGTAAGCCACTGGTGATTCTATATGGTTAGAAACATAATAATCACAGGGAAATCAAAGAGTCCACCCAGACATGAGCTGAGAAGGGGTCCAGCCCGGCTCTCAGAGCTGAGAGCTTTTCCGGAGTGAAGGTATTGAGAAATCATGCAGCAGACCAGCGGGGTCAGCAGCCGCTCTGTATCTTTCTGCTTCGGCAATTTTTAGTCACCAAGAAGGATCGTTTCACAAAACTGTTGCAAAAATGGGGACAGAAGACATTCCCACAGGAAACTCAGAAATAATTTCCTTTCTTTTATGTTTTAGACCAATGCAAAGTTAAGCAAGCGACACACTTAACCCACCCGCACTGTTACAAAGGGACTTTGTGTGCTTTTGCCAAAGTAACAACTTTTGATATGAAAGTACCCTGTGACGCTGACTAGAACTAAGGGCTAGTAAATGTCCAAGTCTAGAAAGATGTCTAGCTATCCTGAAAACATCACCAACACCAGAATGACAGACAGGAAATGTTAGCAAAAGAGTAATGACCACCTGTTTATGGACATTCATCACATTGGGCCACAAATGGTGGCTTGTGCTGTTTACCAGCAAAGAGGTCCATATTATCATAGCAAGCAAACTGTACCCTTACACCAATCTTTCTGACTGATATAAAGCTGTGTTTGTTTGTACCAGGGTCGGGGCCATTCTAGAATGCACTTATCAATTCCAATCCAAACCAGGAAATGGAACTGGAGTGGGAATTGGAAGAAAAACTGTGGGGAATCGAATTGGAATTTAATACAAATTTCAGGGAGATTTAAATTCCAACTCCTGTTCCATTTCCTGATTTAGATTAATGCATTCCAGAATGGCCTCAACCCCGGTTTGTACCACAAAAAAAAATCTATTATTCCTGTTAATTTTCCTCAAAACTACAGAGAAACACAGAATCCTTTTTATAAGAGGCTGCTCTCTGGTATTTTGTCTTTAGCCTCATTTTACTATATTTTAATGATTGCGGGGGAATTTACAAAACGCCTGTGTACATTTAGTTGCTTAGATGATATTTTTATCCGAAGCCCGTTTGCAAACATTGACACAGCTGGACGTGTTTACTGTTCTAAATTGGGTCGGTTAATCAGCTCGGCTGTGCTACCTTGAGCTCCCCCAGGCCCAGCTCCAGACCTACACTGTACTGGGTGTCGCCCTGCAGGCCGTGTCAACCTGCCAGAGACAGAGCATCACACTGGGGGCTTATTATCATCCCGCCACCTCGCTCTACTCACTACCGGGGGACCCGGGAGGGCCTACCTGCATCTCCATTCTCTGGCTCCACCTCCTCTCTCTCTATTTGTTTTACGAGGGAGAAGGAAAAGTGAGATAAAAATCAAAACACAGCAATGAAAAACCAAAAAGCTCATGAACAGCATGTAACGCCAGCTACCCTCATCAGTTCCTATCCCATCCTGGCCTACACCAATCAGTTCCTGTCCTCTCCTGGTCTACACCAATCAGTTCCTGTCCTCTCCTGGTCTACCATAATCAGTTCCTGTCCTCTCCTGGTCTACACCTATCAGTTCCTATCCCATCCTGGTTTTCACCCATCAGTTCCTGTCCTATTCTGGTCTACACCCATCAGTTCCTGTCCTCTCCTGGTTTACACCCATCAGTTCCAGTCCTCTCCTGGCCTACACCAATCAGTTCCTGTCCTCTCCTGGTCTACACCAATCAGTTCCTGTCCTCTCCTGGTCTTCACCCATCAGTTCCTGTCCTATTCTGGTCTACACCCATCAGTTCCAGTCCTCTCCTGGCCTACACCTATCAGTTCCTGTCCTCTCCTGGTCTACACCAATCAGTTCCTGTCCTATTCTGGCCTATACCCACGCTAAATGAAAACAAAACAAAAAACAGACATTGATCTAGGGAGTTTTCAAAATTGTCTGATGGACCATTACAAAAGTTTGTCCTCTGGTTTTACCTTCACATTTTTTCCTAATTATTTAATGAAAACCAAGATATCACAATGGTCAGTTTGGCAAAAACGCCTCTATCTGTGTAATTAACTGAAATTCCTAATGTTCAAGATAGTGATATCTTCTGCGAAACTGCGCAAGTTTAAAATATAGTTCATACTTTAAAGAAAGTGAACCATTAAATTTAATTTCATTCTAAACGGGGGAACTGAATCCAGAATTCAGTATTGTATTACATCTGAGTGTGTCCTGAAGGCAGCATCAACAGGGCACACAGGGCAGGAATTCAGTAGGGTTTTCATTAGGTATCAATGAATCCATTTCGCGAGCTGTGAAGTGAATAAATGTCTGTCCACTAAGTTGCCTGCTATGTTGCTGAAGCGATGGCACAGGACAGAGGAATATGAGGATATGGGGCAAGGCAGCAAACCGCTACAGCAGAGCGCAACCGAAGGGGAAAACCCGGTGGTCTAAGAGGAAAACTGCTACTAGTTTCTGTGGAAATGCAAAATAGTGCACCGGACAAACAACCTGTTTACCACAAAACCATGAAATATGTTCATGCCCTAGAACAAACCGACAAAAAAGCCAGTGACCACACACCCAGTTTTCCACACCGATTCTTTCTGGCTGCTTCCCTGTGCTACTTCTCACTTGTGCTAATCCATTCCCCACACGCTCCTCTAATTAAACCGCCTCCCCATTTGCGAGTCCATAATGCCACTGGGAGTTTACGTCTCACTTTAATAACACGACATGCCCAGTTAGGCAGAGCGCTGTGGCCAGGACAGACTGTTTCTGTAAGAGGGTCGTTGCAGCAGAAAGCCCTGTTTTTAAAGTAGAGATCGACAGCACCTGACCCAGCGCGAGGTTTTCCCTGTGCCTGATACCACTCATGTAGCCCCCATTCCACTGCATTAAGACCCCGAAGCAGCTCTGATATCAGCTGCAAAGACACCCCCAGGTGAGCAACTAATCTGCCCCCTACAGGCAGACGGCAGGCCTAACATACACCTGCGGAGAGGTTTGGCTGGGACTGAAATTCACCTTTGCAATGTCGTGGTGTTCATTTGCATGAACCACTTTAATTAGAAGAGTTTCATGCTAGTTCCTAGTAGGATTGCTGGCATGTTAAGTGAATATCAGTCTGAAACGACCAGCCTGTAACATGACAGCTGGGTCATGTTTTAATGAACAGGCCATTAAGGGCAGCACTGAAGTGACAACAGCAATGGCATAAAAACAGCGGAGGTTTAATCAGAAGGATGTGACAGAGAACCCAGCGATGCAAAAGAAGAAAGGATTAGGAGGAGGAACAACTCTGAGGAAGAAGGTCGGCATGTGAGCAGAACGGGGGAGGACAGCTGAAGGGGGACACTCGGGGGGGTGGCACACAGCGGGTCAGAGGGGGGAGCTGGGCTTGTCGGCCCCCCTGCCAGGGTAGCCTACCGTTCACTTTTTTCTGCTGGTCCTCCCAGGTGACTTCTAGTGCAAACCAGAGGAAAAAGTGAAAAAGTGCGACGGTGACACACACACACACACACACACACACACACAAGCAGCACACTGAGGTACCGAGTAACACCGCAATACGAAGGTCGCATTTTAAAATGTGCATTAAAGAAGCACTGCCAGATAATCTGCAACTGCAACATGACGGTATCATTGTGCGACTCTCCAATTAATATGTTTTAATCAAGCATCTCACAACTTTCTATATGGCAAATTATTTAGGGTCAGTATGACTGAACAACTGAAACAAAACAGTAACAAATGCAATAATGTTGATCTAATGTATAAATACTGATACAGATAATAAAGCTAACAGGCCATTTCCGCAGCCAGCTAACCGACCGATAGCTGATTCTTCAGTCAGATCTGTAGGTTTCATTCCTTGTGCAGTTTTAATGCAAACAGCTCTTGCACCATCTGCAGGTCAACAGCTGAATGTGTATAGTGCAAAGCTCACATTTTCTATACTGTAATATTTTCATTGTGTCAAAGAATGCACCTCACACTGTCACTCCACAGCAGCACATGCTAAGGCACACGCGGGGTCACGTGTTTGTACTTCAAACCGTCGCTCCACTCAAGCACATGCTAATGCTAATGATTCACACAGGGTCACATGTCTACATTTCACACCGTCCACAGCAAGACATGCTAACGCACACACGGGGTCAGGAGTTTGCACTTCACACCGTCACTCTTCAGCAGCGCACACCAATGCACACGCGGGGTCCCGAGTGTGCACTTCACACCCTTACTCTTCAGCAGCACACGCTAATGCTAACGCACATTCGGGGGTCCTACAGTAAGTTTGCTCACTTGCCTTTTCTGCCATTAACGGGGGGAGCCTGAGGCGTCTCCACAGTGTCTTTGGGGCCGTTGGGATCAGTGAAATGACAGGATGTTACTGGGTGGATGGGTACACAGGCAAACAATCGCACGGCTAATGAATAAATGCGCACATGTTCACACAGCACACGTATCCACAACTGCATGTTTGTTTAGCTAATCCTTACACCCCAAAATAACTCAAAAACACTTGATAGTTAAATAAAAACAAATTCTCTCATGGAGATGCTTCCACAAGGTCTATTCTTCTGGGTTAACGATCCAAATGCAAGAACCTCACTTTATCACTCTTTCTAAAGGTTCCACAGCAGGATGTGGCCGCGGTGCAACCTCAGCTGTACCTAAAAGGCTGTCAGCTTAAATGCCAGGTGTAGAATTGCTACAGGAATCTTTCACTATTTGTGATCTAAATCAGGGTTTCCCAACCCAGTACGGGAACCCCGGACAGTCCACGTTTTTGCTTTCTCTCAGCTCCCAGCACACCTGTACCAGGTATTCTGTGTTCCTGATTGGCTGGGAGCTAGGAGGGAACAAAAATGTGTATTGTTTGGGGTTCTCCAAGGACTGGGTTGGGAAATCATCAGGAGTCACGATTTAACAGATTATTCCTCACAGAAATAGCTGCTTATTATACATCCACAAGTTACAGAAACAACAAAGCATTGATATAAAACTTAAAAGGAAACAGGTGTACCATAATCCACCAGAAAATCGCATCTTACTGTAACACCAGCAAACCTAAAACCTGGTCTGATATCAGTCTATCCAAGACCAACAGCAGAGTTTGGGGTGGCCAAGTTGTCTGGGCTGTTGTGGGGGGATGGGGTATTTCATAGAGCACACCTGGATGAGATGCCTGTCGAAAGAGCGGTTTGGGGCCCACAACCTCCACCACTGGCTCCACTGTGCATGCAGGCAATGAGGCAGAGAATGGACACAGAGACAGGACAGATAAGAGCAGACAGGTTAGACAGAACAGGATAATGGAAGAGTGGACTGAGGCAGAGGGCTCTCTGAACCAGGGATGAAAATACTGGCTCCAAGTAACAGGGCTTGAGATGTCTGACTTTTCGGGAATAGATCCCCAGTACTCTATACTCATTCTTTGCATTCAGTGGCAGGGATGGGAACGAGTCACTCCTTGGCGAGTCTAAGTCTTGAGTAAAAACATTGCAAGTCTCAAGTCATGTGTCCTCAAGTCCAAGTTGATCCAAGTCTTTCCATCGTTTTTGTTGTCGAGTCACAAGTCACTCATCTAATTTGTGAATTGAGTCCAAGTCGAATTCTGAGTCACGCAACTTTGAGTCCCTACCTGTGTCAGTTTTTTATTACTTTTAGTGACTAAAACTTGCTTCAGCAAACACACTCCACAGTACGTTGTAAGGTAAAACTTTCAGAGGCAAAGATAGTTTGAAAGAGTGAGGCAGAGTCTCCACTCTGTCATGATTGTCCCCATACAGCTTTCACGTCCATGTATATGCAGGGAGTGATACATTTTTCCAACAAACTCTCAAGAGACCTGCATTCAGCCAAATGAAAATGGAGACTGCAGAGAATTAATATACACTGAAATTATAAAGTTAACATTATGTCAGCCAGAGGGGAAACTATAACCTCAAGTCTTCTCGAGTCATAGGGTCCAAGTTGGGTTCAAGTCTTGAGTCACCTGCTCTCAAGTCCAAGTCGAGTCCAAGTCTTTCCATCGGTTTTGTCGAGTCAAGTCACAAGTCATCAAATTTGCAACTTGAGTCGAGTTGCGAGTCAGTGACTCGAGTCCCCACCTCTGTTCAGATATAACCTGACAGTAAACGAGCAAGGTCCATTTTAAGATTCTCTGACAATGATTTAGGCAGATGTACCTTACTATTGTGTTTTTCCTAATATTCAGAAATTAAACATAATTTCACTAATATGAAATTTACTACCTGTGGGCATTGTAGGAGACTGGGGCAGAAAGGGAAACAAGGAGCAGGTTCTCAATGAAAACCTGGACTTTGCCAATGTGGCCTGGAGACTGGTCTGAGATCAGTCTATTCAGGACCAACAGCGGAGTTTGGGATTTCCAGCAGAGTGGCTGGGTGATCTGGGGCTGTTGTGGGGGGATGGGGTATTTCATAGAGCACACCTGGATGAGATGCCTGTCGAAAGAGCGGTTTGGGGCCCACAACCTCCACCACTGGCTCCACTGCGCATGCAGGCAATGAGGCATAGAATGGACACAATGACAGGACAGATAAGAGCAGACAGGTTAGACAGAACAGGATAATGGAAGAGTGAACTGAGGCAGAGGGCTCTCTGAACCAGGGATGGAAATACTGGCCCCAAAGTAACAGAGCTTGAGATGTTTTACTCCTTGGATGCCCCTTGGAAACATATTACAACTACAATAAACTTCCTAAAATCACACGGATTTAGTGTTTACCTGTCCTCTACAAGAGCCCCAGAATATCACAAGAGAATTATTCCTGAAATACAGCACTACACCATCACATACTGAAGATGGCATCTTTAAAGTCATCTATGCTATAATTTTTTTTTATTCCTAATCCTCGTTAGCTCACATACCATAAAATCTGGCTATTTCCCAAAACCACAATTTGGGCTTTCCCACGAACACCTAAAGGCTTTATAGTCAATGCTGAAACATGTAGAAAATGATAAACATTAGAAAGAAGAACCAAACTGAAAGTAATAAGGCAACTAAAGCAGACTGCCAAACAAAAGGTGCGCAGACTGCAGATTCACACTCACTCAGGGAACGTCTGCGAAGATGCCCGAGCACCATTACACTCCGCAGACTAGTGAGAAAGACGTTTGGAAAGGAGCGATGAAAAACTGCACGACTTAGAGGTGGACTACAGAGCGACGGAGATGGAGCCTCATTCCAGGAGCCTCAGCAAATCTAAAACCCCGACCGTCGGCTACAAACCTTCGCAGGGCTCTAGTCCTTCTTCTCCATCTTCTGGGAAAGAATGAAAAAGGAACCAAAGCAAAAAAATGTCAAATGAAAAAGTTAAGGATCGGATCGTAACACCTAATTAGCGTGTAATAGCCCAAATGGGGAGACTCTACATACACATGTCTACTCAATGTAAAAGGAAAGGAAATCAACCAGGCTTAACAGAGGTATGATCTATGTCATTGTGTCCAAGGCTCACAGGAGACAGACTAACAGGAACCGCACAGTACATTACAGCAAGCACAGTACTGAGTATGAGACTTGGGACTCTGGCAGTATTTGATAACCCTGGACGCGCTCTTTGCGGACTCCGAGTGCAGGCCGCTGACCCTCGCTCCACCATGAGCAAACATCTCCACATCTCCACCTCGTCGGTGCACAAAGATGGACGTGCAACTCACTTCTCTCCAGCGTGCCCTTGCACGGGAGCTGTGGCAGCTGCCGTCCTCTCCGCGTGGACACGGGGGTGCCGCTGGGGCTGATTTGGACCCCCCCGCCTCGAGGCTGAGCCCTGCGGGACACAGAGCAGTTAACGTTGGTGACGTGGGGAAGGCAGAGGCATCTTTTGACAAACCGGGGCAGCGGGGGCTCAGGGTGCAATCCTGACTCTCCAAGAGCCCCTGGGCTGCCGGGGCATTCTGGGATAATCGCCGGAAGGCATGTATGCGTGGGGCTCCCACAAAAACGGCCGCGACAGGCGTGTGGTTGTCAGAGGAACGGCACAGAACATTCCCTCCTCACTTGGCTCTAAGATCCACACTGAAACAGCCAGTGTACAGAAACACCCTGACAGGGAGAACAGGCTGAGTAGAAGGGCTCGTCGGCATGCATACACGCCACAGGGATGCTCCACACCGTGAGCTTATAAACGTGAGCGTATGCAGCTGGTGAACAATGGATGCTTATGGAGAAATGAAGAAAACCATGAAGGTACGACACACTGGCCCTTCACAGCACTTTCAGCGCGATGAAGCTGCTTTTATCTCGCAGATTTGCTGACGCACTCCCAGCCCAGCGGCGACCGAGGTCGGAGCGCCACCCGCCGCTTTCAAACACAGCGGCCACGCTTCACCGCCGCCGCCCCCACCCCATGACACGTAAATCACTGCAAAGGATATGGGGAGGGGGGGGGTCAGCGGCCGCCGCGGTCTCAACGGCAGAGCACAGATTAGACACCAGAAAAGCTGCAGATGAAGGACAACAGTGCAAATCAACAGACGGGAAAAGAACAAAAGGGGGGGATGCTGTTAGACCTTCAAACCAACCGTGTTAGTTAAAGGAAAACAATGGCAGGCGGCGTCACACCATTATATCCCAGCAGAATATAAGTAGTGTGTCTAAAACAAAAGTCAGTTAATATCCACTCCCTTGTCTACAGATGGAACCCAAGGTACCCCCCCCCCCCCCCCCCCCCCACCCCGGGAAGAAATTTGGAAGGTGAGTGAGGAGCTCTGGAGAAAGGGATGAGGCTGGACTGATGGGTCACCTCAGTAAAGCAGGTGAGGGAGGGGCGGATCTTCCGGACGGTAAGGATGGCATGGACCTCATGAGGCTGCAGTCGGAGCGCTCGGTGGACCGCGAGCGGGGGGCGGGCCGCTCCAGCGTGGGCCTCTGGTCCGCGGACCTGGACCTGTGATACTCATGCCTGTCCAGCGCTCGGTACGTCCTGCAATGTTAGTCAGAGAAGCCACTCAGCATGGCCACCCGGCAGCAGGAAGTGGACTCGGGGGCAGGGGATTGTGGGTAAGGGGGACATTAGCTAGGATTATGGCACACATGAAGGCACCTGCAACTCGTACGGACACAGGAGAGACTTAATGTCCCTGTAGAGGAGAGAATATACTGGTTAAACTGCGCAACACAGAGTTTGGATCAGTCCATCCATACATCTGCAGGACGGGGTGTCACTGCGAGGCATCTCCAGAACAGTCTGCCATCAGGGGATTCATTCAGTACACCGGAGAAAGAGCGACAACACAGGAAGCATGCTTTGGCACATGGAGACGTCCAGGCTTTGGATGGGTCTGTCAGAGTCCCAGGAGCCCTACGGATCTGTGAGCATGAAAGATAAAATATGGCACTGGTCCACAGGGTGGCGCTGTTCTGGATTCACAACAACCAGATTAGCAGAAGAAATAAGAAATACACAGTTGTAGGATACAAAGAGCTTTTCTCCGCAAACGGGAAACAGTTGAATTCCATGTTAGTTGTGCTAGATGGCCACTGCACTGAATCTTATAGCAGCTGAGATGTTTCTGTTGTGACATCCCTGTCCCAGAATGCCATGCCGCGGAAGGGAGGAGAAAAGCATATGATGATTCATGGCTGAATGATCCTGGAGCAGCATGGAGTCTCCATACTTTTGTGGATGATGTGTTTCTTGGCCCTTTTACTATTCAAAGATCAGTAAAGATGCAGCAGTGACAGGCATTGCCGGTCCAAAACCATGTGGAGCCTTAGGCAAGCCTCATCACCAGGACCTCCCCCCTCCCAGCAAGCTTCACCATCGGTGCCCCCCACAGCTTCAAGGACCACCATCCCATCCAAGATACAGTGAAATCAGCTGGATAAGTCAGCGACCCCTCAGAAGATGGTACTCTAGGCGGCCGCCTATGGGTTGATCAGCACTGGAACCAGTACAGTAAGATTCACAGGAGTCTCTAATGATGCAGAGTGACAGAGAACCCCTCAGCAGCCATCCAGTGCCCATCCAGTGCCCTTCCAGTGGTCACACCAACAAAGCTATACTTGTACTAGCAGAAAGGGGAAGCGTTGATGTGCTCCTACACAAGGTCCTTCTAGGTTTTTTTTTTACTGTCTAATGTAGATATAGATTATAGATAGAATTTCATCACATGTTTAGCAAAAATACTACTAAGCACCAGGAGAACAATAATGTATTAAAGGATGACTTCTGACTAGAGAACTACACAACATAATCTACTCCAGGGGTAGGCAGACCTGATCCTGCAGTGCCGGGATCCAGCAGGTTTTCCATCCTACCTGCTCTCTGATGAACCACATCTGATCTCAGGCAGATAGTAACTCATCAGGTAGAATAGAAAACCTGCTGGATACCGGGCCCTCCAGGATCAGAGATGTCTACCCATGGTCTACTCTACTGAGTGTTGACTGATTACCTCTTCTCCTCCTCCAGGGACACTGGCGTAGATGGAAATGCTAGTATTTGGTCCTCTCTTTGAAGAATAAAAATGCAAGATTCAGAAAAAAACTACTTTTTTTTTTTTACAGTGACACAGCCAACAGCTAACATAGCTCTACTGCTTGACGACCTGCTGAAGAGTAAGTATTTGTTTGTCTAAGTGAGTGAGGTTGTTTAATTCAGTAACACTTCACTTGAGGGAGCACAAACACAGTACTTATGTATTAATTAACCACAAACTAGGTCTTAGTTACATAGTGATCTCATGTTAAGTCATCATTAATAAATTGTGGCATTTTTTTTATCTTAAGATATTACTATATTTGTTACTATATCTGTTAACAGTGTAAACATTTGTGAACTACTGAAGGAACAAGTAATGAATTACACAAGTGAAATACTGATCATCATTAATCATTAATGAATCATGATGCATCTTTTATCTCAAGTAGCTACAATATTTGTTCATGATTGGTACTTCAGTAGTAACTGAGTAACTACTAAGTATTTGTGCCCCCTGAAAGTGTTACCATTAATCCAATACTCTCTACAAGCAGGAGTAATTAGCACAGTGACTGCAGAGTCATACTTCGTTGGACCATCTCGCAGTCCACACTAGCTCCATGTGACGCTACGTCTACCATCACGCAGAGTTAGGAGAGACCTGCTCAGCACCGCGTACCTCTCCGTGTCCGTGGACGGCTGTATCTCTATGCGTGGGCACTTCCTGCTAAATAAACCAAGCCCGGCATTTAGACGCCTGTTCACAGCATTTCACAGTTGCTTCCTGTGCTAAATGCAGATCACTGAGTCCGCCATTCATCATCAGAGCGCCATCTGGGTAAGAAATCGATGAGCTGCTTTATATATATCCTTTTATCATCTTCTGTTTAGCTCTTTTTTTAGCCTAATACCCTACCCCCTTTATTTATTTTTTTAAATTCTCCTTTGCGAAGTCTCAGGAGCGAGCTAGTTTGCCATTTCCCTGCCATTTATACCAGCATAACTGTGCATGTGACAAATTGTCAGGATCCTGCCCTGTCATTTCCATGCCTGCCAGCAGGTGTCACTGTTCACCCCTTTCTTAGTGTTTGAGTCTTTTGTGATTTGTGAATTGACCCACACCTGCTTCTAATTGCCCCTAGTCTTTAGTGTTTATTTGCTTGTAATTGGCCCACACCTGTCCCTCGCCTTGCCCTTGTTCACTGTGTATATATGTGCCTGTCCTTGCCCTTGCTCTTCAATTGGTCATTGTTTTTGCAGCTGTTACTATGATTGGTCCCTGCCTTCATTTTTGTCAATCACCTGCTTTGTCTTAGACCCCCTGTGGTTCCTTTTGTTTCTTGTTTTTTTTGAGGTAAAATAAAGTCCCTGGTTTCAGCCACTATGTGGATCTTCCTTTACTCCTTCACCATTCCCCACCGTAACACAAGTAAAATCCTGAACCTTTATATAACCCATGTTAATCCCAACAAGGTGGACATAAGGTCTATGCTTCACACCCCTTCTAACTGAGAGTACAGATCACCTAAGGTAAGCCTCTAATCCAGTGGTGGCCAATCTTATCCGCAAAGGGCTGGTGTGTATGCAGGCTTTTGGGGTAACCTTTAGGTCAGATGTTCAAACCCAGGTGTGAGGACTCCTCAGCCAATCAGTCCTCTAATTAGTAATCTAATATGGGAGCTGCAGCAAAAACCTGCATAGACACTGGCCCTTTGCGGATAAGATTGGCCACCCCTGCTGTAACCCATGCTCAACCTCCGTCCTCTAAGAAAAGAACGTGGCCACTGCCACCAAACCACACTACTGCTCACCTGGAGTCCTGACACGTCCCATTTGGGACAGGGTTGGCACCATTGTGATACCTTTAGAGAGAGAGAGGAACATCACAGGAGGAAATGGGTGCATGTAACTTCTCTCCATGACGAAACTAAGCACAAAAAAATGTAATGCTACTGTACAGACGACACAGACACTGATGGCATCTTAAATGCACCAACATGGAGATGCTGTTCGTTGTCCAGAATTTACACGCCTACCTTCCTGGCCCAGAATCCCAACGATGGTTCCAGCTAATCTAAATCAGTATCTGCAGACTACACTAAAATCTACCCTGTAAAGAAGGCTTGCTTGGGATGAGGTACCTTTCAGGAGCATCATACACGTCGTCATAGACGACAGAAGGTCTTCTCTCTCGTATAATCCTCCTGATCAAGGGACAGAAAGCACACCCCAATCTTAGCCATCCAGCGACACCGCTGCCATCATCTACACCTCTAAGTAAAACCCTAAATGCTACCCATTACTAAATATCCTATACTACTCCCACCAGAACTCTACTTCACTCCTAATCCAGCCTTAACCTGCAGAGCTGAAAATCAGGATGCAAGCAGCCTCATAGCACCTACAATGCCTGTTACTGTCCCTTGGCACAAAGACAAATGGTTTGCTCCTATCAACAGGTATCAGCAGAATTTATCTCCAGTAACCAAAGCTTCCCAGTTGCCATGAGTCCTGAAGGCCTGCAGTGGCATAGGGATCTGGGGCTTCGGGAAACTCACCCCTGACTGCTCAAAGAGCGGCTGAGTGGGACAGAGTGGAAACTGGTACTGTAGGTTACACAGTGAATGGGAGGGAAGACCTGCAATCCACTAACCCAACACCACAGTGACCCCAGAGACTAGAGTCTGTATTGCCCAGATGGGAGATTGGTAAGGACACCTGTTGCTGACACCTGATGTTACCCAGCAAATAGGAGACGCCACACTGCATCACCAGCCATGTTAGATGATCTACAAAGCAGCACGATTCAGACCAGAGTGCCGCGACAGCCGGGCCGGACTGCTACCTCTGCAGGTCACCGTACGCCCCATCCGAGTAGGTGCGGGACATCCTAGCGGAACGCAGTAGCCTGACCGCATCCTCTCGATAGATGGGGCGCATGACATCATCGCCGCCGCCGCTGCTGCTGCCAGAAATATTTCAGATCTGGTCAGTTTTTAATGGAGAAATGAATGATATGCATGAATGTGTGACAGGTGATGAACCCGGCACTGGACCCTCAGGGGTCGCAGAATCATTACTCTCCCCCCCCCCCCCCGAAATAGAAAAGTCAGAGCAGCTTAAAACAGGGGATACAAAGGACACACAAAAGGGTAAGAGGCCTAATAGAGTCAAAGCACCAGCACCCTGAAACTGCGGGGCGAGGCGGAACCTTCCGTAACACATTCGAGGATCACCAGCTACTTTTGTTTTGAAAAGCAACGAGGAGAGAGTCCAACAGGACACAGCAGCCACTAAGACTAACGGCTTTTTGACACCAATCATGCAGTGGTGTGGCGTCGAGACCTTCGACACGATGCAATGAATGTTCCACAAGCCCTCGCAGTTCGAGGGAGCACAAAATCACAGAAGCAAACCACGAACACCCCTTACCTGGTCCCCGAGGGACGCGGAGAACACAAAGACGAGTGTGTTAGAAACTCTGGTGGTTATTTGTCCTCCGGCAGAGAATCAAATACTTCCAGAAAGCAGACGATTGGACTGGGATGTCAATGGCAATGACAGCAGACTGGGGGGCTCAGGCTGGAGTTAAAGACGGATGGGGTGGGGTTGTAGCCACAGCCCAGGTGATGTTCATGAGAATGGAAAGCATGTGCTTTGATTGGAGAACTACATGCTATGTAGTTAGGCTTGAGTATGGCTTTATGCTGGACGATTTATTTGCCACACTCATTAAAGTAGGGGGGCTTGTAAAAGCATTCTAGACCCCCCTCTCGAGAAAAGCCCAAAAAGTTCAAATTGCCCTGATGGCGCAGGTTCGGAGGCGTCAATGCCATTGAGTGCAGTCGCAAGAGGGGCGGGGCCGGTTGGTGTGAGAGCTCAAATGGGCCTGGGGGGGTGGGGGCCACAGACAAGCACTCGTACACTGACTGCAGGGCGACATCTACCTGGGGTCCTGCGGATGATGACAGACAGGCTGTCTGTGCCTGGACCGAGGAGGGAGCGTGAGATAGTGGCTGCAACAGAGAGATGGGTGAGGAGAGGCGTTAAGCACCAGGGTTCTGAGAGGGCGGTCCCCAGGGGCGGGGCCAGCAGGAGGGGTGGGGCCAGCTATGGGACAGGGCCAGTGTGAGGGGTGTGGTTAATGTGAGGGGCGGGGCCAGCATGAGGGGTGGGACCAGTCTGAGGGGCGGGGCCAGTGTGAGGGGCGGGGCCAGCATGAGGGAAGGGGCCAGCTGTGGGACATGGCCAGTGTGAGGGGCTTGGTTACTGTGAGGGGCGGGGCCAGTGAGAGGGGCGGGGCCAGTGTGAGGGGCGGGGCCAGTGTGAGGGGCGGGGCCATTATGAGGGGTGGGGCCAGCTGGTCAGTGTAAGAGTTGGGGGCCAGCGTTAGGGGTGGAGCAAACCTCTTTGCCTGAGAAGAGGTCACCAGAGCACTGTGAGGGCAACATTCTGCAAGAGGCATTGCCGCCATAAGGGGCACAGCCAAGGTATGGGGCCGAGTGAAGCCACTTCTCTCAAGCAGCAGAGTTAAGGTGATGAACATATGAGAGATGGAAAATCTGGCTCTGAGCAACTTCTCTGACAGCATGACACACAGGTCATTCACCAATGATCTAATATGGTCATGTGACATCAATGCGTGATGTTTGAAGAGATGTTGGGGGTGAGGAGCTGTGATGGTCAAAAGAACATCCAGGTGACTTTAAGGAAGGAGACCTGAGTGGTTATCAGCCTGTCAAGGGCATGTAGGAACTTAGTGCAGAGTCAGAGCGGCCATGTCAGTGACCTCTGACTCTGGAGAAAAGCCTGGAAGATATAGAAGGTGCATGTTGACGTGTTAGCATCCGGACATATCCTGCTACAGCTGCCATGAGGACATCAAATTCCCCGTGAAGAAAGTAATAACGGCTGAAACAGGTCTTTACGGTTTGTTGGGGTGAGCGGGTATGCTGGGGGCTTTACCTGTCGGGGGAATAGCGGTCCTCTGCCAGGCGGTGCCGGTCCACACGACTCGTGGTGTTAAACTGCGATGGGCCACTGCGGGAGTCATGGTCCAAACTCCGGCTGTGGGGCGCAGGACCACATCCACAGCGGTGCTTTTCATCTCACTAACTGGTCCTGTCTTACCAACGCTACAGGTGCTCAGAAACTCAGCTGACCAGTTTAAGAATTAAGCCGGTTACCTCGGCTACTGATGAGGGGTCCTGCTCTCACAGGAGAGACCGGGAAAATCTGACACCCCCAAGGGCTGCTCACCTGTGGGGTGGTGGGACGCTGGGCGACCGTGACCGAACCCTGTTCATTTCCGCTGATCGTGAGGAGTGGTTGGATGACATCACCTGTTCGGGAACGGACAGTGTGGAACTGCGGAGGTCCCTTCCGTTGTGTCTGTTGTCTGGGGAAAGAAACGAGGCAGGGAATGCTGGGTAAAGGAGTATGTGTGCACCAGCTCTGAGAGCAGGGAATGCTGGGTAAGAGAGTCCATGTGTGCCAACTGTGACAGCAGGGAATGCTGGGTAAGTGAATCCATATACACTGGCTGTGACAGCAGGGAATGCTGGGTAAGTGAATCCATGTGCACTGGCTGTGACAGCAGGGAATGCTGGGTAAATAGTTGTGGAATATCCCAGCTACTCCTACTTGCTGGTCAACAAATTCCTCTTTTACCTTCAACTTGGTCTTCTCGTAATATTCCCAGAGCAAGACAACTTCTACCTAGCCATTTGTGCTTCAAGAGAAAGTTCAGGCTCAGGAATCCATTTGTTTAACTTCCTTGAATCCAAGGTTTTCTTTAAAGTCTTTGCTACTATCATAGTTCAACAGCGTCAATCACCTGCCTTTTCTGCTTCTTCACTGCCCAGATTTCACATCAATAAAGATATGAAATCATCTTTGTTCCTATAAATACGCCATTGCTTTTGATTTTTTTTCCTAGGTCCATCATCATGCAAAGTTATACAAAGATAAAGAGTATTAACTTCACTCATGAGAGAAAACTAGGATTTGTAGTCGATCACAGATCAGTGACAGTGTTCAGGCTGCACCTTCCCTCATGACATATACTTGCCATGAAAGACTCTGCTTCACTGTATCACTGACTAGATTAGCAGTTCTTGAAAATTAGTGGTTGACATAAGTGGTTTGTTGATTACATCAAATGATCATTCGATTTTCAGTGAGGTGATCTGGAAACAGCTGCTTGCTCTCCTTTCAAGTGGCTGAATTCTCCACTAGGGCTGAAATGTCAGCGTAAGGTCAGTAATGTCTCACACAGTGTGCGACGGGAATCTTACCCAACACGACGCCGATACCATCCTCACAATCGTAGTCAGAGATTTCACTGTCACTGACTCGCTGCGACCCTGGGACAGGCAGAGGGGAGATCCAATACCGTCAGCAAGGAGCGGCGAAGGTGGGACACTCACTGCAAACAGCCAATCAGCACACAGGGGCTGAGACCGACAGCCAATCACAACAAAATCATCACGGCAACAGGAGGGACCTCTGTCAGCTGCTGTTCACCACGGCTGTACATGTACAAGTTACACGTGTGGTTTTGTGTGATGCACATATGTAACTGCCTTCATCAGAGGTGCTCAGTCCCTTTAACTCTGATGGAGGCTTACTGTACATCGGCATGTAAACCGAGATAAAAAGCAGCATCACAGAGAAGGTGCAGGTTATTTAAGCACAGAGAGAGTCTCAGAGTACAGGAAGAGCATGGTGTACCCACACTGGTTGGGGGTCGGGGGTCGGGGGCACTTCAGACATGTACTGCCACAGTATTAAAACACCATCTTTTCAGTGGGTCAGGATGCAAAGCAGAGGCAGCTCTGGGCTAGAATTTGGGGAGGACGAGGGCAGACATGTGAGGGGGGGGTGGGCTGTCAAAGACCCGGAACGTTACCTGAGTTGTACATATAAGGAGCCTTATCTGGAAAGATAAAAGGAGTAGCGAAAGTAAGAAAAGAGGGAGGGGCACAGATAAGCTCTGCTTCTTTCAACGGCAAAAACTCAACATGAGGCCTAAAAGCATAAACCGCAAACGATGGTTTCCCATTCTCCGTCTCTCCAGGTAAAGCACTTTGTCCTTTTTTCCGGAAGGGGCCACAGCACGGATGCTCGGCGCGGCGCCCAGCAGTACTTAATGCACTCATGCTGTTACTGGCAAGGAACTGCGGGCAAGAAGCTGTCGCCATGACTCGCTAGGTCTGCCGCAGGACACGCCGTGAGAGACTCGATCTCCCGCAGAGTCCCCTACGCGCGCCGGGCACCGGAGTGGGGGCGCGGCCGTTAATGCGACGGGGCTGCGACGTACTCTGCAGCCTGCGGGTGGGGCTGCCTCCCTGCGTAAGCCTGCGCTGCAGGTACGGTGACAGGTTGGGCAGCGGCATCGACGACACGTCGTGCGTCTGCAGCTTGTACCAGTGCGGCTGGTCGTCCAGGAGCGCCGTCTCCAGCTCGATCAGGATCTGCGGACAGAGGAGGAGGGCCGGCTCTGCAAGGGCTCATGGGTAACTGTGACAGAACTTTGCAAAAGCTAAAGCTTAAAAGGAGATAAAAGCATTTAACATGCACCACAAAAACACAAAAACGGGCAGACCATTTGGCTACGGAATGGGAAGGAGGGTTTAGCGGGGGGTGGAACTGAGTATGTATACAGATGCATGTGACGCACAGCAGCGACGAGTGCGGGGATTCCCTACCTCTCCCAGAAACTCACTCTCCTCCTCGCGAGCGCACGCCTGGTCCCAGACGGTGACCTCCAGCATCCGCTCGCGGAATTCCCGCCGGTGCACCGGCGAGTACATGAACGTCTGGGTCCAACGCGGGTCCTGCGACTTCTTCACCGTTTTCGTCCTCCTCTTGCTCTTATCACTGGAGAATCGGTAACAAAACATCAATCCCCCCCCACTGAGTGTGACATTTCCAAGGCATAGGTGTGTGCTCGCCTCGGGAGTGATTACAGGTGAGTGGATAGTGTCCCCCTAGATGCAAGCGGGCGAGTGATTGGCCTGTGTCACAGCTGTGTCACCGGCAGAAAGACAGCTTAGCTTTTCCAGTAGGCTACATCCCAGAGGAACGACAACCACTAATCAATGAACCCAAATATGCCATGGATGATGTGCAGCTTGTCATAGAACTTTCTGGAATTGGCATCCCCAGCTTCCTCACTTGCCTTCTGTCAGGGAGGAAGTAAATCTTCACGTAGGGGTTTCTGGGCCTGCCGTCCTCCCTCGAGGGCAGGTCTTTGGCCCCCAGAATCGTGACGATGAGCTGATGGCCTACCTTGTCATACCACAGTTTTACCTGCAGGACAAGACAAGCATCCCCGCTGGGTCACGGCGTGATGCAGGAGGTAGAGGGTCACCTGATGGTCAGCTGGGGTGGGGGGGTGGGGGTGGGCTATGGCTGTTCCCTAACCACTCAACATCAATAATACACTGCCTCACATAATTGCAGTCCATCAGTGACAGAATTATGACAAAATAAATGAGCAGCAATGGCAGGAATCTTATTGCCAAAATCACTGGTAAGATGTAATAGATCTCTACCCCGACCCCAAAACTCCCAGCTGCCACAGTCAGTGTATGCAAGACAGAGGGTCCCATCTGTAGTGTCAGACCTTAACACAAGATCAAAATGAAAATCAGTCAGGTCACAATCACAGGAAGCAAACACACGATGCAAACCAAGCAGGAGTAACCTCACCACATCCTCCACGACAGCACCACACCCTCAAGCTCCTACGACTACTGACGGGGAAGAAGGGGTAAGTGTGACCTCACAGGTCATGTGACGACGAGTTCACAGACATGTGACGCAGCAGATGGGACACCTCCCAAGACAGTAGCAGCTCTGAGGCCATCTGCATAGTGAGGGACATTAGAGACTCTGCTAGGTCTAAAAACATGCAGCAAACCGCAACAGACCGGGTACGAATCGGGGCCACACGCTTTAGGGGATGGGGTCAAGGGTCAAACAAATTGTACCACAGTGCTTGTCATACTGGACTCATGGTGCAGTGGGTAGCTGGAGGTCAACACCATTGTGTGAAAAGAAAAATTGACCCATAACACCTTTGTTTTGGTCCCAGTGGACTGGAATGTGTATAGAGATGGGTTCCCTGTGTGCGTGTGTGTTTGTTAATCACTTAATTGCTCTACAAATGAGCTGCGATGCTGAAAAGGGAAAGTAAGCTTCAGCCACCTGTCTGAAACCACATCCACCTCTCCTTTTAACTTCACACACACTGTTAATAGGAGTAGAGTTATGAACTTTTCTGTTTTTCAGATACAGAGATGGGGAGTGCCGGATCTGCATGTGTGGTTCCCCCCATCCATCGTGATGGACGTTGCGTCATGGTCTGGACCTGCTCCCCTGGTGCTCTCTGCCATAACTTGTTTCTTCAAAGGCATCGCCGCCCCCTTCAGCTTTACGGCTGACTGGGCAGCCCTTCACTCTTTGGAGAGATAATGAGCCAAAAGACGCCACAAAACCGCTGAATAACCAAAGTGAAGGAAGGAAGAAGAACTCGAGCTAATGACCTCAGCTTCCAGACTTCAATCCCGTGCAGCTTGTATGGGATGAACTGGACATCAGAGTCACAGTGCAGCAAAGCCCCAAGCCCCCTACTTCTCTGGGAGCTGCTGCAGAAGATCAGGGAGGCCATGTCAGGTGATCTCCTGCAGAAGCTGCCTTATGTTTTGAAGGTGCCATCAAGGAATATGGGAGCAGTTTTATGGAATCTGATAGATTCCTGCCCTGGTGTTTTGCTTTGTAATGCGATGTAAAGCATAGTGAAAATCCAGACTTTCACCTGCTCCCACCTGCTGGCGAAGGGTCTGCGTGTTTCTGCTGTTAACACAGAGGGTGTAAGAGTTGCCTTTCTTCTGTTAAAATAGGAAAGGACATGTGACATTATCCCCAGACACCTCCAGCTGTTAGCATCTGCATGGTGTTCTGCTCGGGAGTTTTGGACCAGCATCTCATTCCCAGAGAGCATGCCTGCTTCGTAAACAGTGGGGGCAGGTCCTCCACAGATCCCCGATCCCCAGAAGGTGTGAGTAACCCACTGGATTAGCCATTAACCGGAGATCACTAACTACCAACACTAGCATGTCGCCCATAACATTAAGAGGTACAATTTGTTTACTGAGCACAAACGATTAGATTCACTTTCCTGGAAAATGCAGTCCTTAAAAGAGGGACAGTAAACGCTACATACCTTTTCACTGTAACATGGAACCCAGCTATTGATTTGAAAATCCAAGAATATCCCATTCAGAGTATTTACATCCCGTCTTGCATTCATTAAAAAAATCACCACACTACCAGTCAAAAGCACCCACTGAGATTCTGCATGTTACATTTGCATGTTACTCACTTAACATTTACTAAAAATGCAATCAATATTCTTTGCTAACAAATAAATGTACAGTATGTTCACCATCTGAGTACCTTGATTAGCAAGAAAATGTCATATATTTGATTCATCAAAGTAACTTGGCAGTTAAACCAGCAGAGAAAACTTGACACATTCTTTCTACAAGGGACATTGAAACATGGGATGAAACAGGTAACTAGTGCATTTTAAAGTTAAAATATAGCCTTGAATTTGACGATGCCATCAACCAGTTAAAAGGATGCCAGACTTGCACTGTTGCATTGTCTTTCTATGATATAAAGGAAACTTGTTTTATTTGACTTATATTTTCATTTGTAATTGTTCGTGGTAAAAACCTGTGGTGTGAAAAAACTTTTGACTGGTGGTGCAATTAAAATTCTGAGATGAAGTAGATTAAGGGGCCGGCAGGCCGGCGTTTCATGTTACACGGAAGAGCGTGAGTGCATTCGTCCCAGGCAACTTCACAGGCTGTTTAAGGAGACGGCTGACCCCGGGACCCCCAGATCAGAGCTCTCTCTGTCCCGGTGTCCCTGCCGCCACAGCCGGCTGTCTCCCTAAACTGCTGTCTTCGGATCGGGTGGCCGTTCCGTCATGCAGATCATCCAAGCAAAACAGCGTGAAACATCACTCTAACAACAGCGACGACAGCAAATACCAGACAGTACCACACTCAGACTCGGAGGGTAACAGCTACTGCCATTTCCCCACTATGCATTTTCCAAAAATGCAAAGGTGAAAGAGAGATAGAGAGAGAGACAGAGAGATAGACAGAGGCAGAAATGGGGAGAGGCACGAGAGGAGAGACTCCCGTCAGTCAGATAGAAGCTGTTACCTGAACCCTAGGAAGACAAGGCGTGCCTCTTCTGCTAAGGCTTTGGCTCTGGGTAAGCAAAATTAAAAAAGAAACATAGAATAAAACAAAAGTGGAAGGGACCGGGGCAGGCAAATATAAGGCAGCCCAGGAGTGGCCTGCCCCTCCCTTTTACAACAGCCATGAACAGCTGCTGGAATGTACCATCATATGGGGGGGGCAGCAATAAATAAATAAATTCAACTAGCAGTTACTGATGGAGGAAGAGACCAGTTCAATGCAGGTCTCACGTACTGAATACAGAACTACCTACATCACCATCACGGGCACCACAACACACATGGAGACAGTATCTCAGCAACATACTCAGCTGGAGACAGTATCTCACCAACATACTCAGCTGGAGACAGTATCTCAGCAACATACTCAGCTGGAGACAGTATCCAGGCAACACACTCATTCAGAGACAGTATCTCAGCAACATACTCAGTCAGAGACAGTATCTCAGCACCACACTGAGTCGGAGACAGTATTCCAGTGAGAATCAACAATCATGAATTTTTATTGCCATTGTATACAACCAACAGATTAATCTGGAGACAGTATCTCAGCAAACACACTCATCTGGAAACACTATCTCAGCAACAGACTCATCTGGAGACAGTATCTCACCAACATACTCAGCTGGAGACAGTATCCAGGCAACACACTCATCCAGAGACAGTATCTCAGCAAACACACTCATCTGGAAACACTATCTCAGCAACAGACTCATCCAGAGACAGTATCTCAGCAAACACACTCATCTGGAAACACTATCTCAGCAACAGACTCATCTGGAGACAGTATCTCAGCAACATACTCAGCTGGAGACAGTATCCAGGCAACACAGTCATCTGGAGACAGTATCTCAGCAAAGCCTATTTCCTGTGTTACAAACACATTCAGCAGCATCAGAATAAGAGACCTTCCTACATGCATGCTGCTTTCCACAGTCTATTACTGAAAGCAGCATGCCGCTTCCCGTTAACGCCCACGACGCCGGAGTGCCCGCTAGGATAACCCGCAGTGCCGCGGGGCCAGATCCAAAAGCGCATTCCTGCCGCATCCCGCACACGGTAACACGATGCACGTCCCCGCCGTACGCTGGAGCACCTCCAGCTGGCCTGGCCTCATGCCGCGGGGGACAGCTTCCAGGCCGGTATCAAATCCTGAGCAGCATGGGGCTGGGATTCCACCAAGAGGAGGTGTGTCCCTCAACCGGGATACAGGCACTGTGCATCGGCCTTCCGAAGTGGCTTTCAGCATGAAAAGAACAAATTCCCCACATGGGAACATCGGCCTGCTCACTCACGGTGCCTCTTCAAAAACGATTCATATCATTTTTAGAAGCACTCAGATACAGTGGCAGAAGAAAGTTTCTGAACCCATCTGAATTTTCTCTATTTCTGCATAAATATGACCTAAAATGTGATCAGATTATCACAGACATGTAACACTGGATCATTTTTCCCAAAAACAAAGAAACAAATGTTTTTGTATCATTTGTTTAATTGGGTTTTCTTTATCTAGTTAGGACTTACGTAGGGATCTAATCACATTTTATTTATATATCTATGCAGAAATATAGACAATTCTAAAGGGTTCACATACTTTGTCAGAGGGTAATTTTTCATAATTTTTTTAACATGAAGGCACATGACCAAGGATGGAGCCTAACTTTAAACTATTCTCATCCAGAGCGGGGTCAGCGTCCTCTGTAGCGTGGACAGGTGCATTGTGGGTACTCACCGAGAGCTGCCCGGACAGGTGTTGCGGGGCATCTCGCAACATGCCGGGGCTCATGGGAGACGTGACAGAGATGGAGGGGCGGTCCATCTTCTGCGACTCGAAGGAGCTGGAACCTGCAGGGACAAGCAGGTGGACCAATAAAATCACGCCGCCTTCAATAAGGCAAGAACTGAGAGAAAAGGCTAATCTGCAGCTAGCAGACACTGGATCCAGTTCTGCTGTTTGAAAATCCCAGAAAGGCTTTGCAGTGATGCAGTCACACTCACTCGATTCCAGTTGTGCATGAGTGCCATCTGTTATTCGAGGAACATCTCTATAAATGACAAAAACACAGAGCTTTATTGACTCACAAAGACCCTCAACTCGCATATCAATGATCTGCTCAGCCCATCATACGTATACTGCATACATACAAAAAAAAAAATTTAGTCAATGTTTTTATCCAATGCACCATGCATTTATTTCTTTATTTTTGCAAAAGCAGTATCAAACACTCCCTGTAGAAATGACCTCATGGAGCTGAATCTCTCTGCCAACACACAAATTTAACCCAGCAACCTTCTGACCATAGGTACAGCCTCCTAAGCCACTGAGCCACACACCTTCATCACTCCAAACAGAGCATGAGGTCCTTCACCTAAGAAACAGCCCACTAAGGGTCTCCGTAACCAGCTGATGGAGGCAGGACTTACCCCATGGGCCGTGAGACCACCAGCTCCACCTGTGGCTCGGGCTTGGACTCTAAGATGATGTTGTAAACTTCCTTAAACGTGGCTCCTTCCAGGAGCCTCCCATTCCACTCGAGGACCTGATCCCCTGCAGCCCAAGAAAGTGGGTGACGTCAAAGGTCCAAACTTAAACACCAACGAGATCTTCCTCGTTCCTCCTGCTCAGTGGATCATATGAAGGTAAATGGCAAAACTGTCTTTCATCAGGGAGAGCATCCTGGCCCAAAGCTGTGAGCCTCGGGCCCGTTCCGTCTATCGCAATGAACTCACACCGTTTTTGTTCCCATTCGGTGGAATAATGCGTTCTAAGGCTTACCGACGGGAACACATTACAGAGAGAAGGACAGACCTTCTGGGATTGTGTGAATCAGCCTGGGAGGGGGGATCACAGGTACCTGGTCGCAGGTGCCCCACAGTGTCTGCCAGACTTCCTCTCTTCACCTTCGTGATGAAGGCACACAGTCGCCCAGATTCTGTCATCTTCCCTCCAACCACCTAGAGCAAATGACAAAAGGCCAACGGCCATGAATGCGGCAATCAGGAAATTTCAACAAGCACTGATTTCTTTGCAAAACTCTGCCGTCGTCCAGATAAACCCACTGCCTGACTCTCATATGAGTCATAAACAGTGAAACATTTACAGTAAAGTAGAAGGTATAAACCACAGCTTGATGATGATGATGATGATGAAGGCAGCCTCACCTTCAGTCCCAGCAGTGCCCCCGTGTCCCTGGGTACCCTCCCATCCTTCATCCGCTTGTTCAGTAAAACCCGTCCGATCAGCCTCTCTCCGTCTTTGGACGTTTGCCATGTTACTGGATGCTGTGGGGTCAACAGGGTAACACGTGATGCGTTTAAGATCCAGGGAGCCACTACTACCGCCTTAGACAGAAGTGCTTTTCCAATGCTTAGCAAAAAAATGTCCACAAGGTGGCGACACCAAAATGAAGCTGGCCTTGCAGTAAAAAGTCCCCCAGACTAGTGATTGTCAAATGAAGCTTTTATTAATTGAGCCTGGGTCATGCTTTTGGGGCTCTTCTTAACATCTAGTGGGCTCAGAAAATACAGCAACTGGTTCATGAAGCCTCATTTGTCCATCATTACCCCAAACGTCTTACTCGTCACATATTTCCTGTACCATTTAACTAGAGCCTGATTGGTGTGTCTGTTAGCAAAGGGCCTGAAGCGGAGATGAAAACCAAGAGGGACAAACAAGAAAATGAAACATCAGAAAGTGCCAAAAGCAGGAACAATGGCACAAGCGAAGGGGAAAAAAAGAGACACAGCTTTGCTGGATAAGGGCCACCCTCGGTCTCAGTGGACAGATGGAGGGAGGGGGGCCATGAAGGGGGAGTTTGTGGGCACGTACCCACAGCAGAGCCTTTAGCCTTTAGCAGAAGGCCCCCGAAACGCACCCTGCACTCTCAACTCACAGAAGGCTTAAGCTGAGCCGGATGCCAAATTCCTACTTGAGAGATTCTCTTTTTCTCCTTTGACTGCCCCCTAGAGGCTCAAACGAGCAGCGAAAAGGAAAAAAAAAAAAAGGAAGATGCACATGTGTACAGAAAGCAGTGACACGTGAAATGGCTGCCTCACCAGGGTCATGGAGGAGGCGTCACTGCCGGGCCAGGGCACGTGCTCCCAGTGGCCGTCCATGTCTCCTGTGGGGACACAGACTGCGGATGTCAGCTGACACCTTGTTGCCGTTGAGCCGCAGAACTTAAGCCACAGTATATTCAATGCTATTTACACACACACACACACACACACACAGAGCAAAGGTCACACTCATCTCTCCTTTCTACATCAAGGGGACTATCTACATAGGAGGGTCTACTGTTCCTGGGGACCCACTGAGAAAGTCAGGGTCATACTCTCTCCTCAGATGTTTCACAAACGAAATAAATAGCTAGAGAACAGTGTCAGATGATCTCAGCTGGCGAGTTGGCCAGCAGAACATGCTGCTTCAGCATCTCCTAAATAAGGAACGTGTTTATTTAATATTTAGTGTGGCAACTGTTTGCGGGAAAACCCTAACCCTAACCCTAACCCTAACCCTAACCCACGCAAATGCATGCTTGGTAAAATCTGCCATGGGCTGCTTGCAAAATTCATCAGTCTCCAGCAACAATTCATACATCTAGAGGAAGCGCCCCTGGGGAGATACGGGTAATGAAAGGCCAAGTATTCAATGGCCAGGGACTTCAAAGAGCCGCACCGCCCCGATCCTGCAGGGGGAGCAAGAGAGCTGGAAACTGAGGAGCGCTAAGGACAGATTCATTAGGTGAGGCTGCATTTGAGCACTCAGCTGGGAGCATTCACATGCTGCACGCCCGCTTGTATAATTAAGGCCGCTTAAATCATTGAAGGAGCCGGCAGGGGGACAGGAGAGGAGAGGAGAAGAAAAGGGAGGAGAGGAGGGGAGATAAACAGCAAGACAAGGAGAAGGGAGGAGAAGCGAGGCGAGCTGAGGAAAAGAGCGGCGAGGAGAGGAGTGGAGTGGAGAGGAGGGGAGAGGAGAGGAGGGGAGAGGAGAGGAGGGGAGAGG